CACATCCCAATACAGCAAGAAGCAATAACGACTCATAAGAACGGCTCAAGGCGTATTCTACCATCACTTAGTAGAATAACACCCGACATGCATAAAACAAGAGAATAAAGACACAACCATTGGCAACACATGCCTTTGTGACAACACATGTCACAAATAGAGAATCACACAACAATGGCAACACATGCCTTCGTGACATCACCCATCACGAATTGATCTGCCTTCCTTATGCCCGGTTCCAACCTTATGGCTACCCCCAACCTTATATCTAGTTCCAACCTTTACCTCCAGGACCCCTGTACACCAAGTCCAACCTTATTCCTCCGGGGATCGTCGTCCCCCCTCCGACAACCCTCCAACAAAACCACCGATTTTATACTACACGAGGTACCGATCACACATGGCAACACATGCCTTGGTAACACATGTTACCCTAAACAAATACGTGAACCTTACACAAAGGTCACAAACTCCATAATCACGTCATGGGCACCACGAGGACCACTGCCGTACCTTGGTGACTAATGTCCCATACCATTAATCGTGCAATCCAGGTACAGCGACACACACAACACCATCATAGGAATCAATCAACGGATCACAACGAAAATATGAAACCATACTCAACAAGGAATGGATCACAATCCGACAACAACGATGATTAACACAAGTCATCATCCACAATAGGAAAGGACAAACCACACACGCTAGCATTTAAACACCGAACTAGCATGCTTATCAAACGGGTAAACCAAACATCGTTCCGAAGAACACACAAGACTCATCATGGTTCAACGAATCACAATGTTGAACACTTAGCACGATTCAAGACACCAAAACCTACATGGAATCCTACCATATAGTTCTAGACATATGAAACATCAAGAAGACACTCAAATAGTGCCACAAAAGAACATCGAAAAGTCAAAAGACCAAATACCAAGTCAAAAGAATCACGGGGAACAAATCCCCGCCAAGCCAACATATGTACCCCGTGGGTGGGGCCACGGGTGGACCCCCACCCGTGGTACCGCTTGTGGGTACCACACCCACTATCAACGATCCCCGCGGGTGGGGTGGCGGGTGGTGCACTACCCGCCGTTCCGCCCGCGGGTACCAACTCTGTACCAAAAATATCCCTTCGGGGATTTTCAAGTCCAAAACATGCCAAATCTCACCAAATACAACAAAATGACTTGAATCAAAGGAATATCCAAGCAATGACATACATGAACCCTAATAACAAGCTCTAGATATGCATTTTCACAAGACAATGCATCAACACTCACATTTCATAGCAAAATCACATGTAGAATCCAATAAATCATCATATAGGTAAGCAAAATAGATTTTGTAGAGCATGTGTTACCTCTTGAAGACTCAACTTTCACTTTAAACACTTCACAAAGCTCCTATCAAGGTCCCCTCTCCACACCCACTTCAAGAACACACCAAAAGATCATAAAGATTTCACCTTTAGAAAAAGATACTTTAGAAAACACTAAAAACACAAAAGAAGCTTAGATCTTACCCTCCTAGATGCTCAAGAGTAGGAAAAGGTAGAATCTTGGAGACAAACTTGGAAGATTTTGATAGCCCTAGATTTAGCCTGGAGAGAAAGCTAACTAGCTTTTTAGAGAGAAGGAAGAGCTTATGATTTTGGAGAGTGTTTGGGAAGAAATGAAATGTGTCTCTTAGGTTATCTTGGAATACCATTACAAGGAAAATGTCTTCTTTACCCTTACTAAGATGAAAAATGTAAGGGAACAAGGGAACTATTCACAAAGCTTTAGGTACAACACTTGACTTTGGGTTGACTAGTCAATTACTAGTCCCCGACTATTGAATTTTCAGGAAATGAAGGAATTAAATTACCAATTGAATTAGGATTAATTACTTAATTAATATCTTAATTGAATTTGGATTACGGGGTGTCACAAGATGATATTAAGCAGACAAATGAAAGAACACTAACATGAAACTAATAATCCACTAACGGAAACACATGATGACACTGTTAAGCACTAACCAAAGGATTAAAAATATTGGTATGTAGTTATTCAAATAAAGTTAGTACTTCAACTACTAACGTTGTTTATCATGAACTTTCTAATAATTTATAATTTTTATTCTTCTTTTTAAAAAATCTCTTAATTACATATTCTTTATTTTATTTACAAATTTTATTTCAATATGTTAGTTATATAATTAAATTTATAATTTCAAATTCAATCATTGTTTACCATTAAGTGTTTAATAATGTGTAATATTTTGTTATGTACAAATAATAACATTTTAAAAAAATTAAATTGTTATTCATGTTTACTTTTTTTGTACTTCAAATACCTTTGTCATGAAACACTTCAAAATAATTTAGATCATTTTTAATTCATTATAACATTACAAATAAATTTTTAATATTTAGCCGTGCATCGCACAGGACAATACTAGTGTGTGTGTATATATATATATATATATATATATATATATATATATATATATATATATATTAAGTTCAGGTGTAAACTATAGTTATTATGTGCACTTGTGCACTCGTATCGGCCGTGCATTTGCATAGATCAATGGCTATGAATTAATGTGCACGAGACCAGGTGCACCGCGTCTTATTCAGCCATTTTGGGTGGTGCATTCTGTAAGGGCGTTTTTGTAATCTCCACAGGGCAATAAGTTGGCTGTGTGTAGGGTTCGGGCTTTTTGTTTTTTTTTTTTTTCCCCTATTTCTGATCTCCACCGCCTATCTCTGTCGAAGCTCTCGTTCTCGCCGGAGTTTTGTGCGGTAATCAATGGCTCGGTCAGGTCGCAGTCGCCGTTTGTGGAGGGGTACGTCTGGACAGGCATTCTCGCCGGCAACGCTGCCCTCAGCTGTTGCGTACAGAGTCACGGCGGCATCATGGTCGTTCAGGCGCCGGTACGGCTGCCGTCCACCGGCCTCAACTAATCGTGGTGTTTTCGAACGAGCTGTGTCCGGGATAGCCTCTAGGGTATCTGCACGGCGACGGACGGCGCACTGGTGGGGTCTGCGAGGGTAGTGCCGGTTCTCATATTCCGTGGGATTTTGAAATTGGTAATTTGGGTCGAATTGAGCTTTTGGCAGTGTGGTTGATGTGCATTCGTTTCAGTCCAAACACCAGCCATTCACTTTTTTTTTTTTTTTTTTTTTTTTTTTTTTTTTTTTTTTTTTTTAATGATCATGGCAGTATGTGTTTAGTGTTGCCTTGAAGTTCATTGATTTGATGTTTGTTTGAATTTTGCATAACTTTGTAGTGTTAAGGCAGTGTGATTGCTAGGCTGATATATATATATATATATATATATACACACACACGAGAATAGTGTACTTATTTATAACATCCAAACTATAAAATCAAATATTAATAATATATTGTAAATAACAAACAATTAATAATATAGTTTTATAGATTATTAAAGACCTCTTTATATATAACATTTGACGTTGAAGAAACATATTCTCCATTGTCGTTACAAATAAGTAACTTAAGACCATTGAGATTGCTAACTCTAGACAAAGCAACATACAGTTGTCCATGAACTAAAACTGATTTTTTCAACAATAGTTCAATTGTAAAAAGCGTTTGGCCTTAACTCTGGTTTATTGTCATAGCATAAGATAGCATTACTGAGAATTGTCTTCGTTGGAACTTAAATGATAACCTTAGGTCTAACAGTGTAAGCGACAATCGTAAAATTGATATAATTAAAATAAAAAATAATTCATAATTTAAATTTACATTTTCACTATAAAATGAACACAAATTTTTAAAAATAATTTAATAATATATTGTAAAATACAATATCTTCAATTAAATAAATAATCAACCACAATGATTGGGCCAACATAAACATATATTAATAGATAGATACATATGTTATGTATATGACCCAAAAAAAATTGCACCTTAAATAATATATATATATATATATATATATATATATATATAGGCTCCGGATCCCATGAGGTCGCTTAGATGGATGAGATAAAGAGATCTCATCTCATCCATTAAATCATTACATATAGATGGGTGAGATTGAAAGAGATTTGATATGCATTTAAGGTAGTAGTCAATGCATAAGGGTGAATAAGTAATTGTAATATAGGAGCTATTTATGGTTACAAATAAATTGGAATATATACCATGTAAAAGATCAACTGATTATGTGATTAGACTATATATTAACGGTAATAAATATTTTTGATATTGTGGTGAGACCTGTACTGACTACTAAAGCTTTTGCAAATAAGAAACCAAGGGTAGCGGTCGTTTCTCAAGGCCACAGAGATGGCGAATACGGGAAGAGGTATGTGCAACCGTACTAGTCCTGCTTTACGGTGTTTTTACGTCTGTGCATTTGTAGGACATGGTGTGTGCATTTTGTTGGAGTGTTTTTACTGAGTGCATGTGGATGGCGTTTAGTTTTAAAACCATTGCGTTTAGTATGTACCGACCGGGTCCGAAAATGTTGAATAGGCAACGAGTCATTGTGTATTGATATTAAATGTGAAAAGGCATTTGAGATTGGGAAAAAATAGAGTGGTGGTGGTTTGTAGTAATATGTGCATGTTAATTTTATGTTTGTGCAATAGAACTGCAAGTTTGTGGGTTAGCGTCTGCGAGTGATTTACTTAGTATGGGCAAGTAAGTCCCAATGGATGAGGACGTTATTTTCTCAGCCTGTGCAAGCTAGGTTCATAAGTTTTACAAGATAGACCGTGAGCCTGTACAAGTCAGTTTCTGAGCATGTGCAAGATATGACTTAGCGGTAGCAAACAGCCGACTTTCTATTTGCCACAAATTATGTAGGGAACTTAAAGTTAATGAAAGTTTGTGCATGCATTTTAACAATTGTAGCGTAACATATATACATGATTAGGTGATAGTCGAGAGAGTATATTTTTTAAAAATCTATTACTAAACCAGATGAAGATTAATGAGTGTGATGATTTAATGATGCCAAGTGGATTAATATGTATTCGGATACGAATCATATGTTACAGGTGTGTGCATTGAATAACCCAGTAACATAACCCAACTTCTACCCAACTTCTTCGGGAAATCATCCACCTCAAGATTCAACAATTCCCCCAAACCAATCTGAACCACTGCTTTACGTTGACAGGCACTAAATTGTTTTATCTGCGACACCAAATGTTTGGGCGATGCACGAGTGTTGAGAGATGGGAACACAACCACAGCATCTCCACCAGCCCCACCTCGAACCCCATCCAAAGGCGGTTGAACCTGATCAGGATTAGACATCACAACTGGGGGAAGGGGGGGAGACCCAACTTGCACACCGCCAACAGGTGGCTGAACTTGAACAGGGGTGGAAACCGCGAAGGGGTGAACTTGTGGACCTACTTGCACAGTACGCGAACCAGCACCAAGATGGGAACCCCAAGACCTCATAAACGTTCTCTACAAGGAAAACAACGAAACGAAAAGGAAACTCAAAAGGCATAAAAAATAAAATATGAACCAAACTCAGCAGCAAAGCGTTAGGGACTGCCCGAATTAATGCATACGCACACACCATAAAATTGATATGCACACAGCTAAAAACGATAACAACAGGAAACTAAAAAACAAAAACAATATAGTTCAAAAACGCTAACAATAGGAAAAAAAAAATTGTCATAACAACACAAAATAGTTAACAAGCAAACTAGCCGTAACGATAAACATAATTAGGATTGGCAAAGAACACACGTTTCAGAAAACGCCCACAGAGTTACCATGCAAGATAAGACATCAAAAAAGACAAACCCTTCCCACATAGACAAGTAATATTTTTGCCCAAATAAGATCGATTAGAAACCCACTCTTAACGTTCCCCACTTCCATTGTAGTGTTCAAGCACAGACCATAACAAGTTAACAACTAACTATAATCTTAACTTAGTACCCGTCTACACAAACCGATAACCCTAAGCGCACACACGCACAACGAACTACAATGTTAACTTAGTACCCGACTGCACACACCGATAATCTTAATCGCACACACACCGGACTGACTAGTAGCCGGAGAAAGAAAAAAAAAACCACCCCCCACCCGTCGACAACATGCGAACCACCACAATCCCCCAACCCCCATCAGCACCAAACGCTGCAAACCCCGAAAAAAAAAAAAAGCCTAGAACCAGCTCCGCTCCCCCCCCCCCCGAAACCCTAACTCAACCACCGCCCCGACATCAACACGGAGCCACGCCCATCCCCCACAAAACGCCCCCTAACACCACGCCAACGTGCAAAAAAAAAAACCAAGACAGGAAACACAAATTCCCCACCGAAAAAAGGGCAGACTCGCGAAAAGACCCGTCAAAAAACCCTAGACACCGGAAAAAACTCCATCCGCACGCACGGGGACTAACTGTGCAGACACCCCCCGCCTACTACCCCAACCTCGGACGACATGCAACAACCTCACACACCCCACATAAACGAAACACATCAAAAACAACATCATGGCAGACAGATTACCTGGAATGCAGCCGGAAGCCCCCCCCCCCCTCCCCCCCCCCAACTCTTGGATCGCCGGATTGAAGACCCCGCCATGACGAACACAGTGACTGACTTGGAAAGAGGACCACCGTCGAACGCTAGGAAATGGAGACGAACCGCGCAGCAGATGACCGTGGTGACAATACAACCTTATCGGAGAAGAAGAGAAACACGGATAGACGTTGAATGCGAAGAGACGGCAAATGAAGTCTTTAAAGCATAAACTCCGATTAAAACCATAATTAGCACTGCACAAGCCCATAAAATCTGTTAAAAATTATTACAACCTAATAAAGACACCACCAAAAAGACCTCAAAGCCCCACATGCACACTAATAACAGCGCACGTGCCCATTTTATATAATACATCTCATCCGTCCAAAAAAACAAATAGATGTACCAGATCAAGCCTCACCACCTCGCCTGCCGAAGGTAACCTCACCGGATCCAAAATCTATATATATATATATATATATATATATATATATATATATATATATATATATATATATATATATATATGGATTTAGATATGCATAATAATTAGCCCAATTTGGTTAACAATTGACGAGCTGTCGTAGGCTCCCAAATTAAAACCTTACAAACGTAGTAGCGGGAGTAAGGATCGATCCCACGAGGAGTAACTAGTTTAAAATATGTGCTCAAAATAAAGGAAGGGTTTGGAATATATCGAGAATAAAGATAAATTAAAAGAGAATTTAAATAAACAAGTAATTTAACTGAACGAATAAAGCAATGAAAATAATATATTGAAAGCACTTATAATAAGAAACCTTGGTTAGTAAAGATCCACCACCGGAATTTAACACTGATAATTGATTAGTAAAGTAATTAATATGCAATTGAATATTTGTCGTGAAATTATTTCATTTCCGTTTTCCCTTAGTTATAGGTAACTAAAGCACACGCGGTTTAATTACCCCTAACTACTAAATAACCTAAGACAAGTGCTATAGATTTAATTTAATAGCAGCAATAGGAACTAGGAAAATCGACAAACTAAATAACACAAGCACAAGCGGTTGCATTTAACATAGGAAAATATTCTACCCGAGTCCAATTATCACTAAGCTGTCAATAATTAACCCAGTTGCTACTGAATATTAGAATAATTTGTAGCACAACATTATCTAATATAGCAAATAATTATATCAAGTAAATAACTAGTAGGCCTCCCTAGCAATTAAATGATACAACTATTCAAATAACTTAGAAGAATATTTAATACCCAAATGCATAAAAATTATATAATAAAAATAAATAAATAATCTTACAGCATAATCAATTCCGGGGCTTCAATTCACTAAACCAAGCTAAAGAAATTAGCAATGAATGGACATTGATAACAGCTTTACAGAATAATCGAGAGGGGAAGAATGAACATTTTACAAAAAGAAACTCCTACTATTTATAGCATCCTAAAAATAGGCCAAATGAATTTCAACCATCCAATTCCTAACTTTCAGCTTCACGTCCGAATTAATCTTTCGTTTCCTGCGCATGATTTGGTTGACAACAGGTTAGTTTGGAAAGATTGAAATGAATGTTTCAATTCCTTTCTTTGCATGCATCTTGGTTGGACAAAGAAACCATATTTAACATTATAATATATATATATATATATATATATATATATATATTACTAGTACGTACGTAGTATGTACTCTATATATATATATATATATATATATATATATATATATATATATATATATATTATATTAAACATTATATATAAAAAGAATTAATTATTAGATAATATTAAATAATTAATCCAAAATTATTATAAAGATGTAACTAAAATATGGGTGTAAAATATGACTATCAACAATCCACAATATAAATCATAAGCCCAAACCAAAACCCAAGCCCACAAACAAATTAAGTTAAAAAATTGATCAATTCAGACAATATTAGCAAATTATATTGTGCACCGCGGTGCATAATCGATTATGCACCGCACGTCAGACACTACAGTGTGTCTAAATTGAAACTGTCAAAACGACGTCGTTTTATTTAATGAAAAGAAACATAATCTTTGCAAAAAATAACTTTGTTCTTCAGTTTCATTTTGTATACGCTGCAGTTTCAGTTCAACACAACTACAATTTCATTTCGATATAACTACAGTTTCATTCAATATTTATACACTCAAATATGTGAAAATGTTACGGAGTATTTCATTTTATTTTATCTACACTATAATTTCATTAAAACACAACCACATGATCATTTGAATATAATTACAGCTTCATTGTACAATATACACTCAAATATGTGAAATGTTATTCAGTTTCATTTTATATATACTATAGTTTCATTTCACCACAACTACAATATTATTTTGATATAACTGTAGTTTCATTTAATAATATAAAAATAATACGTGAGCCAGTGTCGATTTAGACAAATTGACGCGCGGTGCACTATATAACGACCCGATAATATTGCATCTAGCTTTCTGGAAACTTTAGATAATATTGCACCTATCCTTTTGGAAACTCCAGGTAATATTGCACCAATTTGGGAAGGCAAATCCTTGGATTCGTATTTAATCGTGAGAAATTAAAGAGATCATTTCTCAGTAATTAGCAACCAAACTCTGTTCAGACAACATTGCATGACACTCTATCTAGAATTCTGGAAAGTTCACCACCACACATACACCGCAGATTTCCTTGAACCCTTACCCTTGTAGCTCGTAGCTCGATCTCGTTACCTCACTATGTAATCGGTTCAGAATTTGTAATGGTCCAAGCCGCAGATGAAAACGCCGTCGTATGAAACAAGAGCAGTTGGGCAGTTATACTAAGTCAAACGCAGCGTTTTGAAGAAGCCGTTGAAGGCAGTTGGGAATAAGCTACAACGACGTCGTTTAAGCCTAAGTGGTAGTTAGTTAGTTAGTTGAAGGATGAATGTAATAAACTGAGCAGTAGGGAATTGTGGATGTTATGCGAACTGTAATGCAATTAATTCTTCTTCTCTAAACTTCTTCTTTTTCTCTCTATCACTTTTCTTACTCAAACCCTAAAGGACACTACAATTGGTATCAGAGCCCTCAATGGAGGCACGGATGAACCAACTAAAAATTGCGGTGGCTGATCTCAGCAGCCAAATGGAAGGCCAGAAGAGATCCACATCAGACCTTATGGAGAATCTAATCGCTCAGATGGAAAGCTGGATGAGCGATTGGAAGAACGAAATAGTGGAAACTATTCGTTTGAATCGACCTCCACCTCCCTTAATGGGGGCAATTCTAGGGAACTCCTCAGTCAATGGAGCGAGACAGGAACCGCCGACGAGTATCCGATCAGGGCATCAGTCAGCTCTGAATGGCCAGTCGAGAAGGGCAGGGAAGGAGCCGGTAGGAGCAAACGAAGGAATAGGAGGAAATTTGGACTCCAGCAGCGAGGTGGAGCCGGATGAACTCGAGAGGGACTGGAGACAAAAGAGAGTTCAACTGCGATCCACTGAAAGTTCGCCACTGATGAGGTATCGATATGAATTTCCCCCTTTCGATTATAGTCAACCTAGATTGTGGATTGGACGTTGTGAAAGATTTCTGCAATTATCTCATATACCTAAAATCGAAACAATGCATGTGCTGTATGTTAATTTGACGGGGAAGGTGAGTTTGTGGTTTGAGAGTTATCTGGCTGGATTAAAGGGTCCATTTCAGTGGATACCTTTTGTGGAGGTAGTATGTAGACGATTTGGGGAGGATGGTGGGGCAATAATGGAAGATTTCACCAGTTTCAGGTAGAATGGAAGATTCTTAGAATTCAATGACAAGTTTGAGGAATTCAAAAGCCTACTTATCCAAAATCACCGTACCTTAACTGACCTATACTTCCTAGAAGCCTACCTAGTGAGATTGAAACCAAGCCTGAGGTGTTTTGTGAGAACAGCTCAACCTAAAACACTAGCTGATGTTATGTGGTCTGCCAAACAGCTGGATAGAGGGTTTATGTCCAATGAACAACCAAAAAGTTCCTTCCAATTTCCCACTAAAACCTTCCATACCACAATACCCACAATACCCAAACCATATAATGCCATCCCAAACCAAAATTCCAGAAATACAAACTCCCAAAGCTCCTCAAACTCCAATACCCTGGGCAGTACTGCTAAAGGCCCTGAGAATATGAAGGTGAGGGCACAACTCAGGGAACAAAACAAGTGTTTCAAGTGTTTTGAGGCATGACAACCAGGTCACAAGTGTAAGGGATCCACTTTTCATGCCATGGAAGAAGGGGAATTCCAAGATGCTGCAAATGAGTTCCCTATGGAGGAACAGGACAGCCTAGAAACTAAGGAGCAGGCTGAAATATCCCTCTATGCAATGATGGGAGGGGAAGGATTAAACACAATCAAGCTGTTAGGATCAATTCATAAACAGGCAGTGGTAATCCTTGGAGATAGTGGGAGCACCCACAGTTTTGTGGACCCCAAACTACTTATGCAGCTGAGAATTCCAGTAGAGAGAACCACAACATTGAGTGTGACTGTTGCAAATGGTGAACAAATGCAATGTTATAGTGTTTGCAGGAAATTAAATTGGCAAATCCAAGAGGAAGTATTTGAAAAAGACTTCAGACTTCTCAAATTAGGGGGTGTGACATGGTTTTAGGTATGGACTGGATAGACCTTTATGCTCCTATTCAGCTCCACACTAGACCCCTTGGAATCTCTTTCATCAAAGATGTTAAGAAGATATTGTTGAAAGGGAGGGTTGACTAGAAAGGCCAATGGACTGCAAGCAGTGTCCAAAAAAGATTTTAAGAAATGGCAAAAGAATGGGGTACAAGGGTTCCTGGTTCAGTGTGAAGGTCCAATCAATATGGATCCTGAAAAAAGAACTGGAACTTGTTATAAGATAAGCAAGGATGATGAGCATAAGGAATTGACTGCTATAATTCAAGAGTTCCAAGAGTTATTTGAGGAACCAAAAAGCCTACCACCTAGAAGGATGTA